TTCTTTTCTTCCTCTTCGGCCTCTTTTTTCTTTTTTTCGGAAATTTGACGTTCCATTTCTTCTTTTTCAATCCTTTCTCGCTCTTGTGCATTACGTTCTAATTGTTCTTTCTCTCTTTGTTCCGCCTCTTCACGTTCCCGTCGTTCTTTCTCTTCCCGTTCTAACCTCTCTTTTTCCATTCTTTCTTTCTCTTCACGCTCCTTGCGTTCCTTTTCTTCACGTTCCTTGCGCTCCTTTTCCTCACGTTCCTTACGTTCTTGTTCCTCGCGCTCTTTTCGCTCCTTTTCCTCACGTTCCTTTCGCTCTTTTTCCTCACGTTCCTTACGTTCCTTTTCCTCACGTTCCTTTCGCTCTTTTTCCTCGCGTTCCTTACGTTCCCTTTCCTCACGTTCTTTGCGCTCCTTTTCCTCACGTTCCCTGCGTTCCCTTTCCTCACGTTCCTTGCGTTCCCTTTCCTCACGTTCCTTGCGTTCCCTTTCCTCACGTTCCTTGCGTTCCTTCTCTTCACGTTCTTTACGTTCTTTCTCTTCACGTTCCTTTTTTTCTTTCTCCTCGCGTTCTAACCTTTCCTTTTCTTCGCGTTCCTTTTTCTCCCTTTCCAATCTTTCCTTTTCTTCTCGCTCCGCACGCTCTCGCTCTTTGCGCTCATTCTCCTCGCGCTGCTCCTTTTCCCTTTTTTCGCGCTCTATTTTATCTCTTTCAACCGGATCGACTATACGTACAGCCTTTGACTCTTTTTTATCATTATCGGAAGCTTGCTCCTTCTCTTTGGGTAAATCATCAATTCTTTTAGCATCGAAAACTGTAGGCGTAGGAACTTCTTCTTTTTTTACAGCTTGAGGGACATGGGTATTATGCTGAATTGACGGAACTACAACAGATCTATCAGCAGGGTTAATAATTTGGACAGCGTGATTTTTTTGACCAGGAGGTGTATATGGAGAAACAGTTGGTTGCATATGATGAGTCACTTGCATCGGAGGCCTTTGAAGTACTGGCATATACACGGTAGGCGCGTAATAACCAGGATAAAAGGATTCATACGACTAAAGAAAGAATATGAATAATGTAAATAAAATGGGTTAAAAATTAAAAATAAGAAATATCAAAAAATAAACGCACTCGTCCATGTCCATGTCCATATTGTTGCCACATCGGAACTGGAATTGCCGCTTGTGGTCCGGTTAATGGAATTGGAGTTTGAGCTTGATTAGGAACTGTTTGAGGATTTGAATGTGATGAGGGCGGAATAGTACCAGGAACGCTTCTGTCTCTATTCTTTTGTTGAAAATGATTAGGTACTCCTTGTGGAGGCCCTTTGTGATGTTGATGTATATGTCGGGAGTGATATTGCGGATGAGCGTGTTGTTGATTGTAGTTATTATGGTGTGGTTGAGGTTGATGAGGATGAAATGGTGGGGGTTGCTGACCATCGTTAGAAGATACCGTCGATGAAACAGAGTCTTTACGATTATGAGGAGGATTTGATGTAGAAATTGATTGCAGAGGAGTAGCCGTTGACAGCTGTTGTTGAGTACGGGGCGTTACAGAATTCATTTGGTGACCTGGTGGTTGGCCTACATTTTTAGCATTCGTTGAATCTTGGAGATTAAGCAACGGCGGGGCAGACTGCGTCCGAGGAATTTCATTTTGTATACGTGTAGCTAAGGGCTTGGCTACGGCTACTCCAGTAATAGATCCAGGGCCAGTAGGAGCAACAGCTGGCTGTGTTGGAGTTGGTTGCACCTAAATAGAAGAATGAATGGGAATTTACGTAAATACTCATAGATCACCTGAATTAGAAAATAAGGTAAGGCACAAACAAAGTCGCACCAACTCTTCTGAAGAACCTCGTACAGTTACCGTTCCAAACGTCGGACCACTTTTTGGAAGTGGTGGGGGTAGATTTCCTCCACTTACTAAGGATGGTTGTACTGGTGAAGATGACAATGGTGGATTAACTGATGGCTGATTTATTGATCCG